GAAAAGGTAAACTCCTAACAATTATTATTTTATATTATTGGTTTACAAAGGCATATATAATGATGTCTTCCGCTTCCACTTTTACATACCTCATCAAACAAACCTCTTTGATTCATATACATCGATCCACTCATGGATACAACAAAAACAACATATAAACTACCCATTCACGAGCATCCTCTTCTCCCGTCATCATTTCGGTTTGTTACGGTTAAATGTTCTGGCTGCCATGTAGAAGACATCATGTACAACAGTTACGTTTGCAATGATCCTACCTGTTTGTCTTGGTTCCATAAAGAGTGCGCCGAAGCCCCATTGGAGATCAACCACCCTTCCCACACCCAACATCCTCTCTTGCTCACAAACGACTGGGGAGATGGTCCATGTGATATGTGTGGACAAAAGCTATTGCCTCCATGTTATAGTTGCTTCACATGTAAATTCAAAGTGGATTTACTTTGTGGGATGAAACCATCACCGTCTGCTATCGAACATCCCGCGTGCCATGAACATCCACTTGTCTTCTTGAAGAAACGAGAAGAGGAGTCCCCATGTGAAGTATGCAAGGATTCTATTGCTGGACCATCCTATTCATGTCTTGAATGTCGTGTGTACTTCCACGTGGACTGCGTGCGCTGCTCGACAGAGGTAAATCATCCTTGTCACACTAATCACCCTCTCAAGTTCACCGCATTTGAATCCCTTTCAGATGATGGCGAGAAGATTTGTCTTTTGTGTGGAAGGCAGCCGAAGAATGTGCTTTACCATTGTTCCATTTGCAACTTCAGCACGTGCCTTTTTTGCACCATGAACCCACCTCCCCTTGTAATTGAGAACATCAAGACCCACGAGCACCCACTTACTCTCTTACCAAGGACAATATCATATACTTGTGATGCTTGTGGGATGGAAGACAACCTGGGGGCTTATATATGTTTACAGTGTGGTTTTTTTGTTCATGGAAAGTGTATTGGGCTACCTCGAGTCATAAACATCAATCGTCATGATCACCGCATTTCTTTCACTTATCATCTTGGAGCTGGGTATTCAGAATGTGGAATTTGTCACAAAAGTTTAAGTAAGTACCATGGGGCTTATTCTTGRTCTRTTTGTRCAAAATATGCAGTTCATTCTACATGTGCGACAGCCTATGACTTATGGGATGGTGTAGAATTGGAAGGGATTCCAGATGATACCGAATATATTGCACCATACGAAGTGGTCGGTGATGGCTTGATAAGTCATTTTAGTCATAGGAATCATACTTTAAGACTCCAAAAAGACAATATCGTTCATGATAAATGGCTACAATGTGAAGCATGTATGTATCATGTTGGATTTGACCCCATATACAGTTGTGAGGAATGTGGCTTCGTTCTTCATGAAAAGTGTGCTAATCTTCCTATGAAGAAAAGACTTATCTTTGACCCCGTACCATACACATTGGAAGCTGTTACCGGAGTTTTTCATTGCAAGCTGTGTAAAACGTTATCTGATGGTTTCTGTTACATAGCGCAAGCAAATAATAGGCTGCATGTACATTGTGGTTCCCTTTCTGAACCACTTGTCCATGATGGCCATTTGCATCCACTTTATTTTTATGAAAGTGATGGGTGCGATGGGTGCTATAGCAATGTAATACTTGTTGCGTTCAGGTGTGTTGCTTGTAACTTTGATTTGTGTTTCTATTGTGCTAGTTTGCCAGGAACGATATGGCATAGGAAAGATGATCAACACCCTCTCACTTTATATTGTGGGGAAAAATTGAGCAACAAAAATTGGTGCGACATTTGTGAGAGGGAAATAGATCCTAAAAAGTGGTTCTATACATGCTACGATTGTGGCGTCACATTGCATGCACGGTGTGTAGTAGGAGATTTCACACGTCTCAAGCTAGGACTTACCATATACTACTGGGGAAAAAGTTTTGATGTGGTTCCTAACAATCACAACACTCGACCATTATGTAGCCAATGTCAATCACGATGCAATGTGTCGATTATACTAAAAGATTGTGGTGAAGTCAACGGATACATCTGTTCCCGTTCATGTTTATATAATATTGTTTGGGTATGAAACTTTGAACTTATGTTTCATGATGAATCGTTCTATCATGGTTGTATCGTTTTGTTCGCTCCCCACCCTAATTCTTCATGATCAATGGTGGTATGTTTTTTTGTTTGCCAGAGGTGTCCGGACGTAGCGAAGGTGAGGAGGGCGAGCTCTAAGCACAGGTTCAAGTGTGAAATCGATTGAATTCAAGTAGAGCTTCAGGCAACCGATCCAACTGAGATGGATCTTGATGTTTTGAAAAGCCGCGTCAACTAAAACAAACTCTCTTTTGAATAAGATGCTTTATCTCATATTCAACTATTCTAAAATGGTGTTTTCCTCTCTTACAGTTTCTTTTGACTGTTTTAAAAACTTAACATCGCTCATTCTATCTGTCTGGTCTGTCTTTGTTACCTCAACAATGTTCCTTTAAAATTTAAAAATGATCTTTTGTGTTGTGTTTGCATCCTCTGTTTCAACCCTACCAAGAATTGTGTAAGATGATTCCTTTAAGCTTACTTTGTTACAACTGACAAGGTCAATGAAAAATGCAAAATGTATACATCTTTTTGAAATCTAGACTAACAATCTATTTTTAGCTGATTAAGATGTGAAAAGAATGTTTCAACTTATACAATTACAAGAAGGGGTCAGGATTTCGAACTAGAGTCATTTGAAATAGTTGTTCCACATGTTTTGGAGTTAGGCTTCAAGCCTTGTCTCAACATCTCATTCCTCAACTCAATGGCCTTCTCCATTTCCCCCAACACACAACAACCGTGTATCAGGATGTTATATGCTACTCTATCGGGCCTTACACCAGTTTCCGTCATCGAGTCCCATAACTCAATTGCTTTCTTCACATCGTTCTTCCTGCACAACTCATAGATCATGGTTGTGTAGGTTATACAATCTGGAGAAACACCGTTACTTATCATCCTTGTTATGAGCTCAGAAGCTTCCTCCATTCTCCCTTGTCTACAAAATCCACGGATCAACATATTGTATGTAGCGGTGTTTGCTAAAAGCCCTTTCAAAATCGCATTATGGAGCTCCACAGCTTTCTGCATGTCTCCTTTCCCTTTGGTGAGAATGTCGAGAAAACAACCGTATGTTACTTGGTTGGGAACAGAACTGCCAGACAGCATTTTTAAACGTAGAAACTCGGCTTCATTTACAAACCCGGCTTTGCATAGTCCATTGATAACAGCAGTATAAGTGACTTCATTAGGTACAAACCCTTCGTTTATCATCAAATCCCATATCCCAAATGCTTCCTCGAAATCTCCGGTTTTGCTCTTTGCATCAATCATACTTGTATAGATCACATCATCAGGCTTGAGTCTTCTATCATGCATCTCCTTTAACAGTCCAAGAAACACCTTTCGATCTTTGTGCTTTAAACTTCCATCTATAAGAACACCATAGCACACGAGGTCCATATCCACTCCTCTTTGTACCATCTCCTCACAAATGCTTAACGCCTCCACTAATCTTCCTTCTCTGCAAAACCCGTGTAAGAGTGCGGTATAACATATCTCATTCAGTGCATAGTTACCCTTGTGAAGGCCGTCCACAAACTCTTTAGCTTCCGAAGCTCGACCTGTGATACATAGCCCGTGTATCAACGGTCTAAAAGTGTAGGTATCAGGCACAATTCCTTTCTCGATCATCTCATTCTCCAACTCAAAGGCTTTAGCCATGTCACCTTCCTCGCAATAGCCTTCAATCATGACATTATAAGTCACTCTGTTTGGCTTAACGTTCCATTCTGCCATCTCATTAAATAGTTTTACTGCATCACGGATAAACTTAGCACGAAAAAGACCCGATATAAGCGTGGTGAATGTATAGATACTCGGCGCAATACCTTTCCCTGTCATCTCATGATAGAGCCTAAGAGCATTGTGTATTTTCCCTTTGCTGCAATATCCACCCATCAATGATGTGTACGTTACCACTGTTGGCTCCAACTTTTTTTTAATCAACTCCGCCATGAAATTCTCTGCTGCACTAATGTCACCGAACTTGCAGTGCCCGTTAATCAAAGAGTTGTATGGATAAACAGTTGGTTTTAAACCCGCATCATTCATTTTCCCCATGAAACTAAGTGCAGTGTCCAGTTTTCCTCTTCTGCAAAACATATCTATCAAAATTGAATAGGTCACCTCATTCGGACACAACCCGATTTTCTCCATCCTATAAAATAGCAACTCAGCTTTGTCAAACTTTTTACATTTGCACAATGAGTCGAGCAATGCATTATACACAAAAAGATTAGGCGACACACCAAATTCTGCTACTCTTTTAACCAACTGAAGCGCCTCTTCAATCTTTCCCTTCTTCCTTAATCCCTCTACCAAAACTGTAACTGCAGCTTCGCTAGGACTGAAGCTCAAACGTAACATCTCATCCATCATCTCCAACCCGACCTCAAATTCTTGCACTTTACATAACCCGCGGACTAATGTACAATACGTCACAACATCTGGTTTCAAACCTTTTCCGGCTAAATCGTTCTTTATCTCAACAGCCTCCCAGACTTTCTGCTTCTTACAAAGCCCATCTATCAACACATTATATGGAACTATATTCACATCACATCCAGTTGCCTCCATACGAACAATCATTTCTCTTGCTCGAGAGAGATCTTTCAGCTCACACAAGCTACGTATCACTCCTGTGTAAATGTATACATCAGGACAAATACCCACATCGATCATATCGTCAAACAACTCCATCGCCAAACCAAAATGCCTAAAGTTAACCAATCCATGTAAGAGAGCACTCAAAGTTCTCACTTCAGGCAATAAACCAATTTTCATCATCATCCTAAACACCAAAACCCCATCTAAAGCTCTCCTACTTCTTACATAATGCTGAATCAACAAATCAAAACTCGAGCTTGAACTAAGCTTATATTTTTCGTAACAACTAAAAAGCGAATCAAAAACCTCACTTGGCTTCAAAGCACGAAGGAGAAGCGTCTGCAACAGAGACGAAGCAGGCCAAAAGAGATTAGCTTGGAACAAAGCATGGATCAAGATGCAAAACGACGCCGTGGAATGGTCGAATCCTCTGTGCAAACCGAGGAAATTGAAAAACCTCAGACCCAATTTCGGATCATCTAGGGTTCCGATCAGAACCTCTTCTACATGGAAATGCTTCAATCTTCTCGAAACGAGCTCACCGCTCAGTGCTATCTCCCAGCTCCGTTTTCCCCGTACGATTCTTTTGACGGCATCGACGAATTGCCAATCTTCATTGGTTCTACTGTCATTTTGAGAAGAATCGATCACAGAGCTTACATTTCTGCAGCTATGGCGAAAATGAAAGCTTGATAATGATCGATTCGTGCGAGGTAGCTTCATCAAAGAGGTCCTCCGTCAAATGCAGAAGCAGCACTGTGTTACGAACAACAAAGCGATATCTGGGAAACCGATCGGGTTATTGGGTTGGGTACAAGTCTGGGTCTAATCAAAATTGGCCCAAAAGTGACCCATTTGATGAATACATGGGCCAATGTAGAAAATTTCGAGAATCGCGGGGGCGGGAAAGGAAAATTTCACGACGAGCCTAAAATGCGCCAAAATTGCCACGTCAGCAGTCTCTGCCACCAAATGTAACCAATAAGATCCCTCACGTGTGATAGTTTTCCTTTTTTTTCAAGATTCCTTTTTAACCGTCCATTAAAAAGCAGATCCAACGGTGGAATCATCGATCCGCGTCAATGTATTTCAACCAATCATATCAATATTTGGGAACTATATAAAAGCAATCTCTCACAAGTAGGTAGAGATATCAAAGCAATCTCTTAATCATTTTAACCTACTCCAAATCTCAGATTTGTTCTTCGTAACCCTAGAAAACTCGAGAAAGAGAATCCATGGCGCCTAAGGCAGAGAAGAAGCCAGCGGAGAAGAAACCGGCGTCAGAGAAGCCGGTGGAGGAGAAATCAAAAGCCGAGAAAGCTCCGGCTGAGAAGAAACCAAAGGCCGGAAAGAAGCTCCCGAAGGAAGCCGGTGCAGGCGGAGAC